AGTCAGCAGCGCGCACAATTCACATCACCAAAATGATCATTGGCCACAATTACCTACGTTCATGTTATTGAGGTAGAGATGCAGTTTATTTGGCTTGCTTTTTAATTGAGTAATTAGACAACAAAGATGATATTATATATCCAACTTTGTAAAACTTGTCTTTATTTTAAATATCCAGAATGCGTTTTTGATATTGGGTCAAATATATGCTTTGTTGGGCAAAAGTGGTTTACAAAAATTAGCTTAAAAACTTCAAGTTCGTTTGTAGATAAAATTACATCACTGGTTACCTTGGTATACTCCTAATTCGAATGTGTCCACTCATCTCTCTAACGGATTTCAAAGTCATTCCTTTCTATTTTTGCATAATTTATAAATCTATATTAATTGCGGACTTGTTATTTTTGTTCCACTCGCCGTAATAAACTGTCCGGACGCATTTTGAAAGGAAGCACCTTGTCAATAAAGTGTGACAATTTCAAGGCAAATGGCCAAAGTGTCTATCAGTTATTTTAATTTCAAACCCCAGAATTCACCAAAAATAGAAGACGAGAAAAATGCTAATTTGCATATTTGCGCGTTAAACTGGGAATTACTGCTTTGTCACACTTCTTAGACTTTCCATACTATTGAAATTGAAAGTTAACGTATATACATAGACATTTGATGTAAAATCGTTGAACCAGAACAACTGCCCTTGAATATATATAAATCAGAAACAATCAGCGCATGGATATACGTACAAAACATGCTGTTGTACTACCGGCGAAAAAATGGGGATGCTAGACAGTGTGCTTCGTTAGTTTTTTTAAAAATGGAATGTCCGTCAAATTGACGTTAACTTCCCTATGTTTCACGGTAAAAGCAAAGGTCGTGGCCTAGTTGTAGGCTAAAAAACTCAAAATCATCAAAAAGTATTATGACGAGGAAAACAAAACATCAGACGCGTAGAAGAGGTCAGCCACAAAACTTATAGGTCAAAAAAGTTGTTATCAAGTTACATCTCTCTGTGATTTATTTTTCATGGGAATTATTTGCTTGTTTTCTATTAATTTTAGCGTACCTTTGCAATTTATGTTAGCATTGTCAGTTGTTTGCTTCATTGAATTAAACGGATTTCGTCCGGTTACGAACAAAGCTGTCTCGCACCACCTAGCAAAACTTGAGAATGATCGAAGTACAGGTATTTATTGGACAAAAGCTACATGAAAGTCTGCATCTCCCCGACCCAGTGAATATATTCGGTAAGAATCAAAACTGCAAGCCTCAAAATTTAAATATATTGTAATGTTGTATGTTGTATAATTATATGTTGTATTTTTAAATTGAATATTCCTGAAAACTTAAAAAAAAAACATCTGCATCGGTTTTTGATGACGCAGTACGCGCGTACATGTTTAGGAACTGCGCATGTTCGGGTCTCTGCTTCAAAATATCCGCGTAGAGGACAGTGGTATTTTGCTCTGGTGTTTCGATTTTCACAGGATTTAACACGTTTTAGTTCGAAATTATCGATCGATAGTTTCTACCGATATCATGTTTGAGTTGTGTGAAGCGGATCGAAATATAATTTCGAAAATTGTGTTATTTTCAGACAATTTCGATGTCATGGTGTCACCGCTGTCCTACCTGTGTTATTATATGAGTGGTCGGCAAATGTACCGGCGACTGACTAACTATGTCGATCCTACTTTTGAATCTTCATTCTACCTCTCTTTCTTTTCAGACCACGCATAATGTAATGATAGAAATTAGGAAAAACGCCGAGGAAATATGTTTGCTTTGCAAGCGAGCGAGAACTGATTTGAGAATAATTGCATGCACGTGATTTGATAAACTATGACCCGTACAATCCGATTTGCATATTGCCAATCAAAGGCCCTGTTATTTGCGTACTCATGCAAATTAGGCAACTGGGCATAAACATTGCCACGTGTGAGTGTTTTTTTAAATTATTTTAACCAGAAAACAACCAACAATTTTAACGGTGTTCCAATGAGAATCCATTAATCAAATGTCCAAAAGATCAATATAAAAAGCGAAACAAACTATTTTTTATTGAAATTCACAAATAAACTGCATCTCTACCTTAAATTGTATATTACTAGAAAACCAAATACAATAAACAACAAGTAAAATTCGGAAAACATCTTAACCGAATGAACATTTATGACATAGCAGTTAGGACTGAGTAAAGATAATATTGTCGAAATAAAATTAGCCTTTTTTTCTTCAAACAGCTATGAAACCGAGTTTTGGTAAGCTTTTGTGGAATAAATAAATACACGTCACGGGTTTCTTTACACCCTCGAAATCACCCCCTCCCTAAACCATAGAACATGGTCCTGACATGTTGTATTGTGCATATTATGTACTGTGAATTAAAATAATTATAATTATTTGTAAATAATTAGTGTAGGCAATATATAGTAAAATATTTATTTAAACATCAGTTATGTACATTAATATTATCATTAGTTTTGCCAATACGAACGTAAAAGTGTTGGTCCAGGTTAAATGTACACAAATTGTGCATGTCTGGGCATGCATATATAATGACTTAGTGTGTGTTACAGACTTTTTATGCAGTATAGAAATAAATGCAAAACACAGTCAGAAGTTGTGTATGGTATTCAACAGTTGTTCAACTATACATATAATAATAATTTGGCATTGGATCCTCAACCAGACAAGTGTGACTTCATCTTCTTACACAATGTGAAATAGTTGAAATATGCTTTGCTTATATGTCTTTTTAAATATAAACAACGTTTATCTTTATACAACTGTGACAAAAATTCTTCCCACAGAAGATCTCAACTAAATTAAGGTGCTTAGTAAGCCCCAGAAACAAGGCCGCACTGCACTGCGTTGCTGGGAAACAGGCACCGAAATAATGAATGATATTCACCGCTCACATAAAATAATCAAGCATTCCTCGTACTAATGAATACGGTATTACAGCCACAAAACAATGCCCAAACTTCACTTTTTTTAAAGTTTGTGGAGATTAGCTGTATATTACTGCCCCTCTTCGTGTGTACGTCTGTCTCGTGTTCTACACATTTCTAATAATATCTTTATCAGTTACACGCAGACAAATATGTGACGAAATTCAAATTAAAGAATAATAAAATGAGAATAATCGCCCCACTGAGACGCCATCATTAATGGAGTAAGTGTTGTTATATAGACAAAGCCTCAATCTATTTGCATTACTCAAAATGAGGCAGTGGCGGATCCAGCAAAATGTATTGGGGGGGGAGGTTGCAAGCTTCGCGTAATCCAGATACTATGAATCGTCATGCGTTT